CACAAATGGTTCCCTAAAAAATCGACTCACTTTTGAACGCTTGATGGTCGAAGAGCGACAACAGAGTTGCCTACGAGGACGAGGAATCACACGCGGATCACCAAAAACGAACCAACGGGGCCGCAACACCCAACCCCCGACACTTAGAGCCGCACCACTTGCTCCTCTCGCACACTGGCTCAAACCACAAATGCCCTTGAACGCTGGATACTTTGTTCGTTTATTTAATTGTTAAATTACTCTTTGCAAGACAATAGTATCAGTTGGGTTGTAACATTTGAAACGATTTAATTACTCACCTTTTAGAACTGCCCACCATCTCTGTTTCAATCTCTGCTCCAACCTCCGCTAATGAAAACAACAGTGGTAGTAGAAAGATCGGCAACGGAGGGTGCCAGAAAGATTATGGAGGTCTTGAACGCAATGGGAGGCGCTGGCCGATTGTCCAAATTTGCTCAACGATACCGTGAACGGCATGGATTCGACTTTGATGTAAAGGAACTCGAGAAATATTTTGGCACCGGCAAACTGAGTTCGGTCCGTGCAGCAATGAAAGATGACGTTAGTTTAATTCATTATTTCCTCGTATAAACTATTTTAGATCGTTTTCGAGGTGCTCGGTTCCGATGAGATCTTGATCAAGACGAAAGCTTTTGTCGAGCGTACTCGAAATGACCGTGCACAAGAAAAGGACAAAGTTGAAGTCGACTCTCCTCGAGCTACAATGGCGCCACGTTTGACGGAACTTATGGAGCATTTCACTATGCAGCTTGTCAACATGTATCCGAATCCAATTCCAGTGAGTTTGAGCATTTAATTTATTCTGTTTTATCATCAATTTTAGTTGTCGGATGTCGGTATCTTCTACTCAAGGCATTATGGTGCTGAAGTGAATCCAGAAAGACTCTACGCGAAACATTGGTCGGATCTATTCGCCACGACTTTCTCATCGAGAACGATGGTTAAAGATGGAGTAAGCAAGTTGAGTTGAAGTTGTAAAATCTTTTCTGTTTTAGTCCATTCATTTACGCGAGGCCTACGTGAAAAAGCACAATATCAAGCCAAAGCACGTTGACCAAAGCCACGCGAAAGCTGGTAATTTACAGGTAACTTTTAAAAATATTGAGGAATATTGTTGAAATTTAGCTTGCAATGATAAACGATCTTAATGAATCAAGCCTCGAATCCGGTGATGAATCAGAAGAAGAAGAAGAGGATAAATGTGATGAGACGATTGCTGAAACGGGTGTATCGTTAACCAGTATACCTCTCGAACCGGCTCCGATAGACTTGATAAGTACGATTCCTCTTCCACCAGAACCGAAGCCAAGACTAGTTCTTCAAACTCAAAGATCAAGTACAGTTTTCCTATTGAGGTAGACTTTAGATTTTTTTAGGCACGGTCAACGCCTTCCAAATGCCCTTTGAAACGTTTTTGAAAGCCAAGATGCCGGAGATTCCAGAGCCACCAAAAGCCAACGCGCAAGACCCTCCGTTTCGATTGGTTTGCACAAACTCTTATTTTCAAACTATCCTTATTTTCAGAGAGTGATCGACAAGATTAAAAAGCCGAATCAAATCAAGGAGCCAGAAAATCAACGTCGAGAGACGCCCGTCACGCGCACAGTTGCCGCCAAAGTCTTCAACCCGCGATATTTTACAAGAATTGGAAGTACCAAGAACACGTCACCTCAGCCACAAAAGAATCAAGAGCTGAGCGATATGGCAAGCTGCTTTGCCAGTCTCGCCGTAACTTCGGCCCAGGCACCAAGTGCAACGAAGCCAACTGCGCCAGCAAAACCAAAGGGAAAGAAAAGGAGCAGCCGCCGAATTGTGAAGAGATGGTGTGCGGAGAAAATTGCGCTTATGGCCGAAATGAAGCATGAAAGCACGGTATGTTGTTTGGATTTTTGTTACCAGGTGGAATGCATTCACATTTGTACACTTATTTTTTAGATCCGCACGCACACGTCGATCGCATCGTCTGTACTTCCACAGCGAACAAGATGCCCAATGCTGCTTAGCAAAGTCACTGAGAAAAGTTACCCGTAGTACTGAGTTTTGTTTAGCGTTTTACTTTGTTTTTTAAACATTACATTATTATTTTCTTTGTTTGTCAACATTTGAATAAAGAAAGCATTTGTAGGTTGGGAAGTTCCAAGAAAACATAGCTCAAGTTATTGCCAGGTTGGCACTAGTTGCGTAACGTAAGAACGAAAGATCCTGGAGGATAAGTAGCTAGGTTTGTTTAGAAGAATTACGGTACTATTGTTAAATTATTTTGATTCAATTACGTATCATAGAGATCGAATCCTTGAGCATTGCTGGGACAGCTCGTCACTTTTTGCCCATAGCAAAGGCCAATGAAAGAGTTGGAGATGAGTGGTATGAGTATTGGTGCCAAATGGCACAAATCCTCATCTTTTCCTCCTCTCTGATCTTTTCTCCTAGCCTCGCGTCTACACACTTTACAATCGAAAGGGTAAAAGAAGGGGGCCTTTTCTTTGAGAGAGTGGACACAGTCACTCTTTCCTCTTTCCTCTTTTCTCTTTCCTCTTTCCCCTTTCCTCTTTCCCTCAAATGACCACAAGATTTCTTTTTTCGTGTATTTCTCTTCAAGAGTGGTTGTTTTCTATGTCTTTTTGGCATTTTTGTTATTCACAAAATCTTCTCGACCTTTTGAAATGACATTTGATTCAACGCGAGTTTGAAACGAGTTCTGATTTGGGTACTTTGTGCGCGAAATTTGTAAACGTACCCCTTTTTGATGCAGTGAACTGGATTTTTGGAAGCTTTGCCTGGCTTTAGAAGCTTTACCCGGTTTTGGAAGCTCATTGAAGCTCAGTGATCGATTGAGGTCAAGTTGGGCAACTAAACCGGCATAAAATGGAGCAGTGCGTGCCAGAAGGCGCAGAAGACGCAAAACCAAACCCCTTGCGAAACCCCTTGCGCACAAAGTACACCAAAATTGATTGAGTGACTGAATCGGGGCAACTCGCTCACCGACTCGGCCGTTTCCCGCTTGGCTCGGCCGTTAGTTAAGCAAGCGCTTCAAAATAGCTTTGAATCGTTTGAATAGCTTTGAATCGTTTCAATCGTTTCAATCGTTTGAATCGTTTCAAACGTTTGAATTGAATAGCTTTTTGAATTTTCGCCGCTGAATTTCACAGTGTGCACTCCAGATAAGAGAAAACTCGCAAAATCATTTGAATTTTCTTTGAAAATTTGATACCCCCATGAGTGTACTTGTTTTTGCCTAGATCGTGAGCCTGAATCGTGATTTTCTCTTTTTGAAAACCCACTGTGACATCCAGCTTGGCCACTCCTTCTTTGAAACAATCATTTTCCTCCAGAATATGCCAAATTTCGGTCAGGCACTGTCCGGTTCAATTACCCAATCAGGCCAAAATGCTTAAATCACAATTTTCTCTTTTTAAAAACCCACTGTGACATCCAGCTTGGCCATTCCATACTTCAAACAATCACTTTTTTCCAAAATATGCCAAATTTCGGTCAGCCACTGTCCGGTTCAGTTACCCAATCAGGCCAAAATGTTTAAATCGCAAATTTATCTTTCTCAAAAGCTGTTGTGACATCCAGCTTGGCCACTCCTTCTTTGAAACAATCATTTTCCTCTAGAATATTGCCAATTCCAAGCAGCCACTGTCCGGTTCAATTACACAATCAGGCCAAAATGCTTAAATCACAATTTTCTCTTTTTAAAAACCCACTGTGACATCCAGTTTGGCCATTCCATTTTCGCAACGATCACTTTCAAAATCATAATTATCTCGAGTGTTTAACGAATGTTTTCTTTTCGTTGCTCTCAAATCGATCACTTTTCTCCCCTCAAAAGTGTCGTTTCCTCAAATCTTTCCCTCTTGCTTTCCTCCTTATTTTCCCCCTTGCTTTCCCCCGTTTTTCCGTTTCATTTCAAAACGACCACCCGAGTGCCACTCACTCTTTCATTTCTAAACAACTTTCTGCTTTTTAAATTTCGCGTTGAATTCGTTTTCCCATCAGTTTTCCCAACTGATCGTGAAGTGATAAGTCTTTTTGAAGAAAGCCCTTTTCAAGGAAGCTCAAAGATTAGCGCTGGTTTAGTTGCCCAATGCATGGCTACAGTTGAGTCCTCTCCAAAGCTGTTTTCTAAAACGTGTCCTTAGAAAAGCCTGTAAATCAGTGCCCTCTCAGTGTCTACAGTATCCTCTCAGTGTCTACAGTGCCCTCTCAGTGCCTACAGCGGTCTCTCAGTGTCTACAGTGCCCTCTCAGTGTCTACAGTATCCTCTCAGTGTCTACAGTGCCCTCTCAGTGTCTACAGTGCCCTCTCAGTGTCTACAGTGCCCTCTCAGTGTCTACAGTGCCCTCTCAGTGTCTACAGTGCCCTCTCAGTGTCTACAGTGCCCTCTCAGTGTCTACAGTGCCCTCTCAGTGTCTACAGTGCCCTCTCAGTGTCTACAGTGCCCTCTCAGTGCCTACAGCGGTCTCTCAGTGTCTACAGTGCCCTCTCAGTGTCTACAGTATCCTCTCAGTGTCTACAGTGCCCTCTCAGTGTCTACAGTGCCCTCTCAGTGTCTACAGTGCCCTCTCAGTGTCTACAGTGCCCTCTCAGTGTCTACAGTGCCCTCTCAGTGCCTACAGCGGTCTCTCAGTGCCGATACAAGAGGAAGCTATAGTGCTTTCTAAAATATGCCCTTTTCTTCTAAATCTACACTGTCTTTTCAAAACCAATTTATCGACGATTTATCGATTTACTTTATCCAAATAAGCTATTGTATCCCGTTTCTACTTTACTCAAATTGTTTCTTTTTTTCTTTTTCTTTTTCTTTTTGCCTTTCAAATAAAATTAGAAGTTTAATTTAATTTAATTTAATTTAATTTAATATTCAAATTTCAGGGTTCGAACGAAAAGAAAGGGTTTTTTCTTTGTTTTTTCTAAATTTTCTAAATTCCAAATTCGAAATTCGAAATTCTAAATTCGAAATCTAAATTCCCTAAATGCTTTTCTCGGGCAGCGCCGCTGCAGCGCCTGTCAAGAAAAAAGACGAAAAGAGACGCGAAAGAAACGAACGAGGTGAGAAGTTTTCAAGAAAAAAACTTTTTTTTCTAGTATTCTTTCTAGTAAAAAAGTATTCGACCGTAGTTTTCTAATAAAATGACCGAAATTCAGCTCGTTTTCGGTATCTCCATATCGAAAAACTCTAGTCTACAAATTTGTAGCGAAATCCGAGGTTTCTCAGAGCAATTTAGCGAAATTCGGTAACTAAACCGAGATCAAGGCTTGACATCCCGATTTTCTATGGGAATCCGAATAATTTCCATAGTTTTTATCTGATCTGGAACGCACACTATGAGATAAAACTGGAAAAATCAAAAATCGATTCAATTTTGACATTATTGGGTAACTGAACCGAGATCGGGCGTTACCCAATAAGACCAAAATGCTTAAATCATAATTTTCTCTTTTTGAAAACCTACTGTGACATCCAGTTTGGCCATTCCATACTTCAAACAATCACTTTATTCCAGAATATGCCAAATTTCGATCAGCCACTGCCCGGTTCAGTTACCCAATCAGGCCAAAATGTTTAAATCGGAAATTTATTTTTCTCAAAAGCTGTTGTGACATCCAGATTGGTCATTCCATCTTTGAAACATAGCTTTCCTCCAGAACATGCACAAATTTCGGTCAGCCACTGCCCGGTTCAGTCACCCAATCGGGCCAAAGTGCTTAAATCACAATTTTCTCTTTTTAAAAACCTACTGTGACATCCAGCTTGGCCATTCCATTTTTTGGAATAATCACTTTGTTCCAGGATATGCCAAATTTCGATCAGCCACTGTCCGGTTCAGTTACGCAATCAGGCCAAAATGCTTAAATCACAATTTTCTCTTTTCGAAAATCCACTGTGACATCCAGCTTGGCCATTCCATGTTTGAAACAATCACTTTGAAGCAAACAAACAAACCAGCCGCCACCCTCCACCCCGGTTCAGTTACCCAATAATGTCAAAATCGAATCGATTTTCAATTTTTCCAGTTTTATTTCATAGTGTGCGTTCCAGATAGGCTAAAATTATGTAAATTATTCGAATTCCCATAGAAAATCGGGATGTCAAGCCTTGATCTCGGTTTAGTTACCGAATTTCGCTAAATCGCTCTGAGAAACATCGGATTTGCGTAAAAATCTGTAAACTATGATTTTTCACTATGGGGATTCCGAAAATGAGGTTAATTTTTGTCTCGGCGACAAAGCTTTTGGCTTTTGATGGCTTGACGACTCGATTAACCTCAGTTACCCGATCGTTTCAAGAATCATCAAGAAACAAGAATCAAAAAGTGAAAAGCGAAAAGCGAAAAGCCAAAAACGAAAAGCCAAAAGTAAAAAGGGAAAAGCGAAGAGCTAAAAGCCAAAAGCCAAAAGCAAAAAGCAAAAAGCGAAAAGCGAAAAGCGAAAAGCGAAAAAAGCCAAAACGACTACGAAAGTCAAAACTGATCAGAAATTAAAGTAAATTAACGTAAAGAGTACTGTTTTAATGCTTCTGCGTATCATCGTACTGTAAAATATAGTATGCGCTATCTAGTGCGCCTATTGTAAGGCATAAGGCTCTGGCAGCTCTGGCAGCTCTGGCAGCTCTGGTAGCTCTGGCAGCTCTGGTAGCTACTGGCAGCTACTGGCAGCTCTGGCAGCTCTGGCAGCAACTGGTAGCTCTGGCAGCAACTGGCAGCTCTGGCAGCTCTGGCAGCTCTGGTAGCTCTGGTAGCTCTGGTAGCTCTGGCAGCTCTGGCAGCTCTGGCAGCTCTGGCAGCAACTGGCAGCTCTGGCAGCTCTGGCAGCTCTGGTAGCTACTGGCAGCTCTGGTAGCTCTGGTAGCTCTGGTAGCTCTGGCAGCTCTGGCAGCTCTGGCAGCTCTGGCAGCAACTGGCAGCTCTGGCAGCTCTGGCAGCTCTGGTAGCTACTGGCAGCTCTGGTAGCTACTGGCAGAACAGCAAGCGTAGCTGACCGCCAGTTAAGCGAAAGGTTGCGGATTCGAATCCTGGCGCCGACCAGATTTTACTTTTCCAAGCCCATAAAAGAACTGCCGTGTCCAACTACGTACAACGACTATTGCCAAGGTGTACTTTAAGAAATGAGTACAGTAATTTCCTTTCCAAACAAATTACAACTTTTAGACGAGAAGCACGAGCTCCAAGAGAATGTTTTCGTGCGTTGGGTGGGGATCATTTTGGGCGATGAGGCGCCTCGAGAGCCAAGGGAGTTGGCCGATCCGAACATTGTCGCCAAAGCGATCAGCCGAATCACCGGCAATGCAGCGGTGGGGAAAATTGGTTACAATATTGCTTATAGTACTCTCTTTACAGTACCCCGCTGTACCTTTTCAATCCTGTAGGCTCACTGTAGAGCTAGAGTACTGTAGACTTAGGTTCCCATTCGGTTCCGATTAGGATCCCATTTGGTTCCCATTTGGTTCGGTGGCTTGTTCCTACGGTGCACTGTGGAGGTTGCACTTGGTACTCCGCTGTTTCTTTTCAATCCTACCATAGGCTAAGTTGGCGCTGTTAAAAGTTGGGAAAGAACAAGATTAGGTTACTGTAGGTTTACTGTCGAGCTAGGGTACTGGAGCTAGCGTCCTGTAGAGCTAGGATACTGGATCTAGCGTCCTGTAGAGTAGGGTACTGGAGCTAGCGTCCTGTAGAGCTAGCGTCCTGTAGAGCTAGCGTCCTGTAGAGCTAGCGTCCTGTAGAGCTAGCGTCCTGTAGAGCTAGCGTCCTGTAGAGCTAGCGTCCTGTAGAGCTAGCGTCCTGTAGAGCTAGCGTCCTGTAGACTCTAGCAGACTCGGGTCGGGCTGTAGTCGTCCAGATCGTTAGAGCAGGCTTAGGTTCATTTTGCGAGCGAACTAGGCTTCAAATTAGTTAGATTAGGCTAGGGTTGGACCAAGGCTGAAACCAGAGTCAAATTTAGGACTCCGGCCATCCCCTGGCTTGGCCAACCTTTGAAACGTTGAGACTACAACTGTCGTAATCCGATTCAAAGCCCTTTCAGTGTTTTTTAAAGACTGTTCATTTCTACAGTAGTCATTGACATGAAAGTCATAAGAAACTAAAGAAACTAAAGAATTCAGTGCATTAGAAAGCGAGCGTTTCCGAATTTGAGCAAGACAAGACAAGCAAGTACAAGACATTTTCAGATCAGCGCCCCATCTCGCTACGAATTCTTCCAGACGATCATCAACGAGTTAGGCGTTTTCGGGACAAAAGTCGGTTTATTTCAGAGTTCTGGAGGTTCAAGCAAAAGACCAAGAACTAAAGCTAGAACATTGGCCAAGAACTAAAGCTAGAAAGCTAAGAACTTCAGCCAGTGTAACTATTCAGCTAACACCCAGCGAGTTGACGGAACACTTGCAAAAGGCGGTTCTCCAAATGTGGTGGTGCATTCTGCACTTGTACTGGCAACGTATGGCCCCCGAGCCGTTGAAGCGGGAAAAAGTGAGTTTGTTGAGGTGGATTGGGATAAGTTGGACCCTGGAGAGGTTCAGGCTGAAGTTGGGTAGGCTTGGCTGAAGGCTAAGCTGAAGCTTGGTTGAAGCAACTTTAGCCTGAACTGCAGTCGGTCAAGCCAAGTTCAACCGGAGTTGGACCAGGATTAGCTAACAATGAGACCAGCTCGAAGTTGAGAATAGCTTTGTGCTTAGGCTTGGCCTAGGCTTGGCTTGGCTTCGGCTTGGGTTAGACTTGGCTTAGACTTGGCTTAGGCTTGGCTTAGACTTGGCCTAGGCTTGGATTAGGCTTGGATTAGGCTTGGATTAGGCTTGGCTTAGGCTTGACTTCGGCTTAGCTTAGGCTTGGCTTAGGCTTGGCTCAGGCTTGGCTTTGGCTTGGCTCAGGCTTGGCTTTGGCTTGGCTTCAGCTTGGCTTCAGCTCAGACTCAGGCTTAGACTCAGGTTCAGGCTCAGACTTAGGCTCTCATAGAATCGGCAATGCTGATTTTAAATCTGTAAAGAATAGTAACAAACAAGAAAAGGAATCTAGGATAGAGATTTCCTTAATTTCGGACTTTTCTGCCACAATAAAGAAGGATTCAAATGGCTTCACTGATCTAGCGGATAGTTTGCTAGCTTGCTGAACTATGAAGCCTTGACTTGAGCCTTAGCTAGAGCCTTAGCTAGAGCCTTAGCTAGAGCCTTAGCTAGAGCCTTAGCTTGAGCCTTAGCCTAAGCCTAAGCCTAAGCCTAAGCCTAAGCCTAAGCCTAAGCCTAAGCCTAAGCTTGAGCCTAGCTTGAGCCTTGGATTGATCCTTAGCTTGAGCCTAAGCCTAAGCCTAGCTTGAGCTTTAGCTTGAGTACGAGTCCCCCAAGAGCAAACTTTTGAAGCCTTCAAGCCCTATTCGTTCGCGCTGTTCTAACTAGGTGCGCAAATCTCTGTAAACTCGATTGCCTAGGTGCAAGACGCGATGCGAATGTGGTGCATGGATGTGTGCAAAGCTTATCCAGAAGTTAACGTCAACGATTTCACGTCATCGTGGCGCGACGGGCACGCATTTAACATTTTGCTGCACAACTTTGAGTAGGTTTTTAGGTGTGGAAACGCACGTCTTCTAGCACACTGGCTTAAACAGAGCCGTGTGCCAAAGAAGATGCGTTTAAAGACCTTTGCGCTCAAAGGCACAAAGTACAAAAGTGTTTAGTCCAAAACTCGTGAAAATGTCGGAAATCAGCGAAATGAGCGGCTTGGAACGGATCGAAAACGCGTTTACTGTAGCTGAGAGACTCGGCGTGCCACGATTGATGAACAGTAGAGGTGAGGCTAGGCTCAGGCTCAAAATTGTCGAATAACTTCTTGATCTTGTTCTTGTTCTTGTTCTTGTTCTGTTTAGTAAAGGAGTAAAGTCTTGAATCGATCAAGAGCCAGACAAAGATTTGGCTTTTTCAAGAAATCCACATCGTCAAACCAGATTAAACTAGAGCTAGATGGTCAGATTGGTCTGATCGGTGTCAGGTCTGGTGATCAGATTCATTCCAGCATTTGGCCAGGACTAGGACACTAGGCCAGCTTAGATTATGGCAGATTGGACCCAGGAGATTTGACTGTTTGACTGTTTGACCGGTTCAATTACGCAATTCCTCCAAAATCGTCTGGATCGTCATTTGTACAGTTGGAGCTCATAGTGTGCGTTCCAGATCAAAGAAAACAATCAAAACTATACAAGTTCCTATAGAAAAATCCGGGTTTCAAGCCTTGGTCTCGGTTCAATTACGCAATTTCTTCAAACCGTCTGGATCGTCATTTGTACAGTTGGAGCCGATAGTGTGCGTTCCAGATCAAAGAAAACAATCAAAACTATACAAATTTCTATAGAAAAATCCGGGTTTCCGGTCTTAGTCTCGGTTCAATTACGCAATTTCTTCAAACCGTCTGGATCGTCATTTGTACAGTTGGAGCCGATAGTGTGCGTTCCAGATCAAAGGAAACTATAGAAACTATACAAATTTCTATAGAAAAATCCGGATTTCAGGCCTTGGTCTCGGTTCAATTACGCAATAATGTCAAAATTGAATCGATTTTCAATTTTGCCAGTTTTATCTCATAGTGTGCCTTCCAGATCAAAGAAAACTATAAAAATGATTCATCTGGCAATGACTCCTGTTGGAATTTGGCTGCGATCCGGCTGCGATCCCGGAAGATCCCGGGCCAGATTCAGACTGAACAAGATCAGGTCATAACAGGCAAAGTAGATCAAGGTCAACGCTGTTTAGGCTAGCCCGTAAGGTCAAACTTTGAACAGCTTTGAGCTACAAGCTTTGGGATAAGTCTAGGAGAGAGGACAAGTTCAAAGCAAAATTTAGGATTAGGTCTCTAGAAGGTCTAGGTCCAGAATAGGTCTCAAGCCAGCAATCCAGTTCTGTATTGGAGTAGGCTGTCAGAGTTAGATCAAGGCCAGAGTCAGGCTTAGAACAAGCCTTGGCTCTTGTGTAGTTTCCGGGTATTTTTTTTAAAGAATCCGGGTACTTTGGAGAAATCCGGGTATTTTGTACGAATCGTTATACTTTGAAGGCCTATAACTTCTTCCAGAGATAATATTTTTCTTAACTTTTTATATCATTGTAAAGAGGAGATTTCAGGCTTTCAAATGATACCAAATAGAGTTTGATTGGATTTTTCTTTCCCAAATAAACAAGGCAAGATAACACCCCGAGATAGACCTCATTTCTCAGCTCAGAGTTGCTCAGAGTTGGGACTGATTTTCTTGGACTCGATTATCCAATTAAGCTCTATTTGGTATCATTTGAAAGCCTGAAATGTCCTCTTTAAAATGATATAAAAAGTTAGGAAAAATATTGTCTCTGGAAGAAGTTATAGGCTTTCAAAGTTGGCGGTGATTGCCGAATACCCGAAAGCGTAAGGACCCGTTGAAAAAACGCGGAAACTACGCAAAAGTCTAAGCCTTGCTCTGGCTTGGATAAATCGAGACTCATTTTAGTCTCTGGTTAGATCTAGAGCTTCAAGAGCTCTCGAGTTGAACCAAAAACAGATCATTGACTCAGCTCTCGCTCAGCTCTCACTCAGCTCTCGCTCAGCTCTCGCTCATCTCTCGCTCATCTCTCGCTCAGCTCTCGCTCAGCTCTCGCTCAGCTCTCGCTCAGCTCTCGCTCAGCTCTCGCTCATCTCTCGCTCGGGTCAACCTCAGTCAGCCATTTCCCATTCTTTGTTCGTTATTTGGTTTGTCTTTGTGTATTCTGGTGGGATTATTGGGCTTTTTCTTCTTTTTGGCCTTTTTCCTATGCATTTGTCGCGCTTCAGTGCATCGCGCACACCGTTTTCTCATTTTCCCATTTTCTTTTTGTGATCATAGCCAAAATTGCTTAAATTGCTCTAAGCCTATGGTTTAACCTCTTTTTTTGCTACTGTAGCCAATTAAAACCACCAGAAATCTTCGATCTGGAGTTCAGCACGTCAGAAGGGCTACTATTGCACTCATTTTTCACAATTCTGCCCTGCTCTGGAGACGCAAGCCTTCTAGCGCACTGAATCATGATTTCTAGCGAGAAATTGCGTGACTAAACCAGACGATTCGTCAATCTGGAGTCCACTGCACTAGAAGGCCGTCGATTGCACATTTTTGAGTGCAATTTGAGTTTTTCGCAAAGCACCCAGACACTTTCTGCACAATTTTCCACAATTTTGATGTACTTTCTGCGTACTTTGAACTCAAAAACACTCCATCTGGCATGCACAGATGGATTTGAGTGCATCAGAAAGATGTTTGGAGTGGCTGGAGTGTTTGGAGTGGTTGGGGAACTCAGTATTAGCTTAGGAGTAGTAGATCTCTAGGACTAGGGGTATTAGGGGTACTAGATGCCTAGGGCTAGATGTACTAGATGTACTAGCTGTACTAGATGCCTAGTACCCGTACTGCCTAGTACCCGTACTGCCTAGTACCCGTACTGCCTAGTACTGCCTAGTACTGCCTAGTACTGTCTAGTACTTCCTAGTACTTCCTAGTACTTCCTAGTACTGCCTAGTACTGGTACTGCCTAGTACTTCCTAGTACTGTCTAGTACTTCCTAGTACTGTCTAGTACTGTCTAGTACTGCCTAGTACGGTCTAGTACTGTCTAGTACTTCCTAGTACTGTCTAGTACTGTCTAGTACTGTCTAGTACTGTCTAGTACTGTCTAGTACTGTCTAGTACTGTCTAGTACTTTCTAGTACTTTCTAGTACTGTCTAGTACTGTCTAGTACTTTCTAGTACTTTCTAGTACTGTCTAGTACTGTCTAGTACTTCCTAGTACTGTCTAGTACTGTCTAGTACTGTCTAGTACTGTCTAGTACTGTCTAGTACTGTCTAGTACTTCCTAGTACTGTCTAGTACTGTCTAGTACTGTCTAGTACTGTCTAGTACTGTCTAGTACTTCCTAGTACTGTCTAGTACTGTCTAGTACTGTCTAGTACTGTCTAGTACTGTCTAGTACTGTCTAGTACTGTCTAGTACTTCCTAGTACTGTCTAGTACTGTCTAGTACTGTCTAGTACTGTCTAGTACTGTCTAGTACTGTCTAGTACTGTCTAGTACTGTCTAGTACTTTCTAGTACTTTCTAGTACTGTCTAGTACTGTCTAGTACTTCCTAGTACTGTCTAGTACTGTCTAGTACTGTCTAGTACTGTCTAGTACTGTCTAGTACTGTCTAGTACTGTCTAGTACTTCCTAGTACTGTCTAGTACTGTCTAGTACTGTCTAGTACTTCCTAGTACTGTCTAGTACTGTCTAGTACTGTCTAGTACTGTCTAGTACTGTCTAGTACTGTCTAGTACTGTCTAGTACTGCCTAGTACGGTCTAGTACTTTACAAACGCATCTTTTCTGGCGAACCGCTGAAAACAAGGTGAAATGGATGGCAAATGAATGGTAAAAAGAGGAAAAAGAATGCGAATTTCTTGTTTGTTCAACGATTCCCCCGGTTTCTGCGGTTCAAACGATCCCTTTCCCATTCGTTTTCCATTCGTTTTCCAAATCCCCGCTATTTGCATGTCAAATCTGAAAGGTTTCCTTCACAAAAATAGCTTGTTTTCTTGGATTTTTTTCAAGTTTAAATCTTTCCAATGCTCTTTATTGTTGAATTTTTTTCGCAATTTCGCAATTTCTATAGTTTTCTCTTAGCTGGAACGCACACTATCGACTCCAACTATACAAATGACGATCCAGACGTTTTTGAAGAAATTGCGTAATTGAACCGAGACCAAGGCCGGAAACCGGGATTTTTCTATAGGAACTTGTATAGTTTTGATAGTTTCCTTCGATCTGGAACGCACACTATGAACTCCAACTATACAAATGACGATCCAGACGGTTTTGAAGAAATTGCGTAATTGAACCGAGACCAAGGCCTGAAATCCGGATTTTTCTATAGGAACTTGTATAGTTTTGATAGTTTCCTTTGATCTGGAACGCACACGATGAGCTCCAACTGTACAAATGACGATCCAGACGGTTTGAAGAAATTGCGTAATTGAACCGAGACCAAAGCCAGAAACTGGGATTTTTCTATAGAAACTTGGATAATTCCTATACTTTCCTTTGATCTGGAACGCACACTATGACCTCCAACTGTTCAAATGACGATCCAGACGATTTTGAAGTTATTGGGTAACTAAACCGGGCAAAAAAACGCAAAAGGCAAAAAAAGAGCAAAACAAATCCTTTTGCAGCGAAGAAACGATCCATTTTCTGCTTCAGAACGGGATTAGCATCAAATTCTTGAGCTAATCTCAATCCTTTTTACTTGTCATCTCTTTCCTTGTCATTTCTTTCTTTATTTCCTTGTCCCAATCATTTCCCAACTCTATTGTTCACCAGGAAGTCTCCTCAAATGCCAATGGCTCTTTTTCAATGGTCAATGGAAAGTTTATCCCAAAGATTTCCTGATCTTCCTAATCTTCCTGATCTTCCTGATCTTCCTGATCTTCCTAATCTTCCTGATCTTCCTGATCTTCCTGATCTTCCTGATCTTCCTAATCTTCCTGATCTTCCTAATCTTCCTGATCTTCCTTATCTTCCTGATCTTCCTGATCTTCCTGATCGATTTTCTCAAGTTCAAGAAATGATTTGATGTCTTAGTTTTAAAGAATTCAATAATTTTTTTCTTAAAATCTTATTCCAACTTTGGAAATAAAGCTTTAAAAAATCGTTTTTTTGTTTTTTTTTTGAAATCAAAGCCTTCTAGTGTAGTCTTCGTTTTTCTTGTTTTCTTGCTTTTGCTGGCCTGGGTACTTTGCTGGTAAACTCTTGCTGGGCTGGGTACTT